GGGCTCAGTTCTAGGATAAACAAGGTGAATTTGACTTTAGTCAAGTCTTACACATAAATTACTAGAGGTAAAAGGGCCTAGGTAGAGATCGGCTAGCCAAGTCCTGCATTATAGTTAAGGAAACTGAGGCTCAGAAAGGTAAAGTGACTAAGCCACGATCACACATAGAGTTAATGGCGGGACCAGAACCAGAATCAGTCCCTCCAACACCCAGTCTCAGACCCTGATTCTTGCTCCACTTCTCCTTGAGAATGATTCTTCATTTATATGGTGAGGATAACCATCTATATTTGCTTCTTACTCATGGAGGTACTGGGACGATGACTGGAAATAACTAGTATGAGTGGTGTGAGTGATGCATTTTGTGACTTGGACAATGTTCGCATTCCATCTGTGTTCAGACAGTTATGACTATGGAGTAGTCTTGTTTTGGTCTTGATCCCATCATAGTCTGCTTTTATTTAAATGAATTCAATGAAATAACGAAGTCTTTGAAGGGTGGGTGCAGTATTAAGCAAAATGCTTTTGCCTATTTTTAGAAATTCTCCCAATGCTAGGGGTTTTAAGCAAACAGTACATACACTGTGTTTCTCAATGGAAACATAATTGGCATTTGAGGTAGAGCAATTCTTCCTTAATGTGGGGTTGCCTTCCCCACACCTCAGGACGTAAAATACACACTTGGCCCCTGGATACTCAATGGTAGCAGCACCTCCTGGTCAGGGTTGGCCCTAGGGTGAGGCAATTTAAAACGTCAAAATTAATGCAAGCCAGGCACAGTGGCTCATGCCTGTAATCCCAGTGCTTTGGGAGGCCGAGGCAGGTGGATTATCTGAGGTCATGAGTTCGAGACCACCCTGGCCAACATGGTGAAACCCCCATCTCTACTAAAAATACAAAACTTAGCCATGTATGGTGGGGTTTGCTTGTAGTCCCAGCTCCTCAAGAGGCTGAGGCAGGAGAATCGCTTGAACCTAGGAGGCAGAGGTTGCAGTGAGCCAAGATCATGCCACTGTGCTCTAGCCTGTGCAACAGAGTAATACTCCATCACAAAATATAAAAATAAAACAAAACAAAATTAATGCAAAAAATCCAAGAGGAACAAAATATCAAAATGCCAAATTTTTAATGAAGATTGGATCAGTATTACTGGTTTTTCCTTTTGCCTCAGGCTCCAATAGCATTTTGTTCATGAATTTTTGGCATTAATTTGATTTTTTTAATGTTATACTAAAATATTATCTAGCTGAATTGCTGAGTTTGGGGGCACCCCTTAAATGTTGCACCCAAGGCAAGTGCCTCACTTGCCTTACCCTAGTCCGGCCCAGCTCCTGGTCATCGTGACAACCCAAAACACCTCCACATATTTCCAAATACCTTGCTAGGTTGAGAATCTCTGAAATGTGGCTTGATTTTTCTCATATAACTACAAGTCCAAAGAGAAGCAGCCTGGGCCTTAAACAGTGGCTCCCCGATGCCAACAAGGACCTAGGTTTCCTTTATCTCTGCCAAGCTCACAAGATAGCTGTTGCGCCCTAGGAATTACATCCTAGTGTAACTACACCAGACTAATCTAGTTCAACTTTTATATAACAAAATCATGAGTTGTTTTCCAGTTGCCACGGACCCCAGGGTTGAAGGTCACACAACCTGAGCATGTCTAGATGAACCAAGTGTGCACAGGTGAAACCTAAGTGCTTGGACCAAGGAACAGGGACTGAATTAAGAAGCAGATACCATATGGCAGGATCAAGGAACTAAAAAGTTCGAACTCTGGTGTCACCCCACAGCAGGATCCAGTCAGATTATGCCTCCCAGCATCACCTCATTGCCAGATGCAATCAGATCACACCTCATTATGACCTATGCTTATAAAACTTGACCCAGCCCCCAGCTCCAAGAGACAGATTTGAGTGTTTCCTCCTGTCTCCTTGCCAATCAACTCAATAAACCCTTCTTGCTGCAAAAACCTGGTACTTCGACGTTTGGCTTTCCCTTGCATGCAGGTAAATGGACCCAGCTTGGTTCGGTAACGCTAGTTCCAGACAGGAAAACAAAAGGAGGGCAAAGGGCAGGGAAATCATACCCACTGAGCCTGTTTTCATTAGAAAAATAGTAACATTCCCAGAAGCCCCACCCAATAAACCTTAATGCATATATCATTGGCCAAAAGTGAGTCCTGCGGCCAGCCCTAGCTGCAAGGAGCCTGGGAGGTAACACGTTTAAGTGCGCACAATTCCAGCCTGCGTAAAACTGATCTGCCTATAAGAAAGAAGGGTAGAATGCATAAAGGATAAACAGCTAGAAGTGTCTGCCACAGGGGCCATTCGGGGTAACAAATACCGGCCCTTTTTGGTGATTGCAAATGGCATTTTCTCTGCTTATAACGTGATAGTCTACTTGAGCAAGGCATTTTGGTGGTTGCTTTTAGAATTATGGATTAAAACCTGGAATGTTGTCTTAGGTTGGGTTCCATAGAGGCAGAGCCTGAAACAGGGATTTTAGTGCATGTGATTTATTAAGGGCACACTCTTGGGAAAAACCTGTAAGGGAGTGAGGGAAGCAACAAAGGAAAGGGAAATGAGCCATGCAAGGAAGGATGCATTCTCAGGTCAAGTGTAGCCTTGGCCTGATGCATGAGGGGCTATGGAGCCTGAATCACAGCAAAGAATGATCCCTCCTTCAGGCAAGGAAGCTGACCTTTTTTAACCCTTGATAAATCAGTCAGTTATTAGCTGCCCCTGTTGGGGGAAAGGGGCCAATGTAACCTCCCAGGTAAATCTGAGAGATACAACTCCCATCAGCCAAGAGCAAGTCTCCAGAGAGGGTTACAGGTGTAAGCAGTTTGTCAAAGCATTTGTCACAGCTGGGGGTGGGGGAGCACCACCCCAGCATGGATCTGGGTGGGCACAAAGAGCATCTACTACAAAGATTCATTTTAATACAATTTCCCAAGGACCGCCTTTATTTTAACTTTGTATTATTTGAGAGTGTAATGCGAGATATATTGCTAGGATTAAAAGCTACTGAAAAAACTGGCAACAAGTTGAAAATGTCTCATTTTTAAGAAAAATGATTAACAGGTGTTGACTTGTTTTTGTTGAACTGCTAATGTAGAAAGTGCTTTATAATTTGCTTAGGGTATTAACCAGGATCTAGTCCGCAGTTTACAATCTCATCAGAGCACGTAAATATTTCATAGTCTTAGTGTCTCATTTAAAGCTCAATGAACATTTAATTGAAGTTGACCAACAAAATAACTGAAAGAATTAGGACGTATTTAGTTAGACCTGAAATGAGCAAGCTCTTCATTTTCTCAAGTAGTCTAAAGCTAAAATTATTCCAGCTTCACAAAATATTCTATATCATTTTATAAGTAATTAAAGGGCTGCAAAATAGGCTTGAAAGGCACACAGTAAACATTGAGAAAAACATGAAATAAAATGACTTTTCAACTTTAAATGCAAGAGAATAGTTTAATATTAATATATCGTGGCCTACATTACTTATTCAGTAGTGGATTAATTTAAAATATTGTCAATACTCTCTTTTTGACATGAAGTAAAAATAGAATCTTTTCTTTGGCTCCTGCAAAGTAAACATCCTATAAGATTGAGAGTAATAGAAAACTATGCATAATCCACCCAAGTCAGTCGGCTCGGAATTGTTTTTGAGCTGTGGGTCCAGCACTGAGCCAGGTACTGAAAATAATCCAAAAAAAAGTGTCAGAACTAGGCTTCAAAAAAAAAATGTGCACTCTAATTGATCTACCCTATCACAGATGACATGGGGATGTGTCAATTCTACCAAATTTGAGGACATTTTAATTAGAATCAAAGTACTGCCAACCAATCCATGTTAAAAGCTACCAAAAACCACCTGGTAAACTTAGCGTGCTATGGTTTGAATTCTTTATCTAGTCCTGAACTATCTTTTAATTACAGGATCTCAAATAATCTAATAACTAGTTCTTTCTGGAGAACAGAACATAGGGCTGTGATACAAGGCTGTCTGATACACACAGCATATACATATAGCTGGTTGCCTTTTCGTTCCTTTGATCTTAGTCCTTTTTTAAAATATTCAAATACATTTCCTTTTGTAACTTCCAGTATGTCCATATGTATGTGTGTGTGTTATGTGTAGAGACATATACGTTAGAAAATTCCAACTCTTTTCTAATAATGGCATTGCTTCCTTTGACTATTTTTCTTGCCATGTCACATTTTAGCCCTTAGCAATGAGGAATCATAACTATGGCTTATTACTAATTAGTATGGAGAAAAGAAGAGAAGGCATTTTTCTGTTCCTATTAAATGCCACATTCAGACTCAAACACAATTATTTAGTCAATGGCAACTCAAAAGCAAAAGTGACAATCTGACCAGCCTCTTAGTGTCTATAGAGCAGATTATCCTGTCCAGTGAAGGAGAAAGGTTAATAAGCATTAGCCAAGAAAGATAAACATTTGCAACCAATGTGCCTGATAAAAAAGAGCAGAGCAAGAATAATTTTTCTTTGTTTAGGATACTTTTGTTCTTGAATTTATCTTTTCAGAAGAACTAACCTTAGTTAAAAGAAGCAACATACATTTCACTTAGGAGGAATGTTTAAGAGATCTATTGTATAACACAATGACTATAGTTAATAACAATGTGTTGTACACTCGAAAATGGTAAGACAATAGATGGTGTTTTCACCACCAAAAAAATGAGATGCACACGAGTTAATGCATATGTTAATTAGCTCAATTTAGCCATCCCATAGTGTATACATATTTCAAAACATCATGTTGTACACCATAAATACATACAATTATGTTTGTCAGTTTAAACAAATAAAGACAAGAGGAGAAACACTAAAAATAAAGGCAATAATAAGTAGAAAAGGCAAAAAGAAAAAGAACTAGCCTTAATATTTACACTGAAGGCTCCTACTTTCTCAAAACTAGCATCTGTAAAATTCTAAGACTGCATTTCTCACAGCGTCGTGTGGCTTACCTGTTTATCAAAAGCTACCCATGATGGTACATTGCTTCCATCTCCTTGAGGATATATGGTACATTTTGGCTTTATCTTTTGTCCCAGAAGTGGTTCTCCACCTATTCCAGGTTTTTCCTCACTCACCAACATCATAACATTGTTGCAAAAGCCCCAATGTTGGGATTTGTGAAACTTCTCCTTCCCTACCTGTGAACACAAGAGACAACATAAAATAGCCAAAGTTAGTCCTGTGTGTGTGTGTGTGTGTGTGTGTGTGTGTGTGTGTAATGGAGTCTCACTCTGTCGCCCAGGCTGCAGTGCAGTGGCACGATCTCAGCTCACTGAAACCTCTGCCTCCTGGGTTCAAGTGATTCTCCACCATGCCAGGCCAATTTTTGTATTTGTAGCAGAGACGAGGTTTCACCATGTTGGCCGGGATGGTCTCAATCTCCTGACCTCCTGATGTGCCCGCATCAGCCTCCCAAAGTGCTGGGTACAGTTGTGAGCCACTGCACCTGGCCCAAAGTTACTCTTTGTGACTTTTCTAACCTGTTTTAAAATGTCAACACATTTTCTCACCATGTATTTTCCCCTCACAAAATGCAAAGGGGCAAATAATTATGATCAATCATTATCCATAAAGTTGTGTCACATTCTTAAATTCATTTTAACCAATTCAAAACATTGAAAATCAGTAAACACAAACCTAATGCTCCATGCTATATAAAACATTAAAAAAATGACTCTTACTGCAAGTAAATATTTAGAACATTAGCTTGCTAATTGGTCTTTCCTATTTGTTTGCCAAGAATGCAAATAGAAAAAAAAACAAAGAGAAAAAAACTGCTCTGCTTCAGAATAAAAAGTGTATGTAACTGTTTTTCACAGAAGTCTAAATATTATTTTCACCAAAACAGAGAACAAAATCTTTTCCTCATTAAAGTAAATATAACAGGAAATTCTTCAGAGCTGACATTCTCCTTTAATTGTAAAACCTTACCTCCCGCCTTTTCTGGTGATCTGGAGAGAGAGGAGGAAACACAGATACAACTACCAAGGGTTGTTGAGAAGGACGTGGCCAACATCAACATTTGTGCACTGCTGGTGGGAAAGTAAAGTAGGACAATCACTCTAAGGAGAGATGTGGAAATATGAGCAAAGAGAGAGGCATATATGTCCTATGACCTAGCCAGTCCACTCCTATACAAGTATCTTGTCCTAGGCACAAGGAACTACATATCAGACTATTTGTTACAGCACTGTTTACAAAAGTGAAAAATAGGGAACCATTGAAAGTCTACCCATAGTAGAAAAGATACAACTCTTTATAAAATGGAATATCAATACAGAGTCTAATATTATATGTATCAACAGACAAATCTAGGCCAGGCACGGTGGCTCATGCGTGTAATCCCAACACTTTGGGAGGCTGAGGCGGGAGGATCACCTGAGGTCAGGCTTTCAAGACCAGCCTGGGCAACATGGTGAAACCCTGTCTCTACTAAAAATACAAAAAATGAGCCAGGTTTGGTGGCAAAAAAAATTACATGTGCACCTGTAATCCCAACTACTTGGGAGACTGAGGCAGGAGAATCACTTGAACCTGGGAGGAGGAGATTGCAGTGAGCCGAGATCATGCCATTGCACTCCAGCCTGGGCAACAAGAGCAAAATTCTGTCTCAAACACACACACATACACACACACACACACAAATAGACAAATCTGAAAAACTGTCAGGCCAAAAATATAGGTAGCTGAAGTACACATAAAATTTCACAACACATACATAAACCTAGAAAATACTCAAAAAATACAGTAATATTTATGGATAATACATGCATAGAAATGACAAGCAGCAAATTCAAGATTATGTAATATTCATGATAATAAATGAACACCCATATGCCCCACAGCCCTGCATAACAAATAAACACTTCAGATATAACTGAAGCTTTATCTCAGAGCTCATAGCCCTGCCTCCCTTCTCCAGAGGTAACCAGTATCCTGAATTTGTTTCTTTAATGTTAGCACATTGCCCACTACTGTATATAGCCAGGGCAATAGCGTCTTGTAAAACATGATGCCTTGGCAGGGAAGTCTGATAGGGTCAAAAAGACCTCATTTCCTTCTGTGGTAAAGGCAGCCTGGAAGAATGGGAAAAGCCGGAGCAGCCCTCCCCAGGGGAGTCAGGGCCGTAACAGCTGCCCTGGGCAGATAACAGCCCAACTCTAGGGCTGGGGGAGGAAAGCCAGATGCAATGGTTAAGATGGTGAGCTGTAGCTGGTTCTACCCCTTAGGGAATCAATTGTCACTACCTCCACCATTCCCTCCACTCTGTCTCTCTTTCTTTCTCTCTCTCTTTCTCTCTGTCTCTCTCTCTCTCTCACACACACACACACACACACACACACTTGCTCACACATACAATCAGATTACCACAAGTGAGTCCCAGATCCCCACAGAACAAAGCAAAAGTTGGGTTTGAGAAAATGAGTGGTGGAATAATATATAATTTTATAATGATATACTGTCTCCTAAAGCAGGTAACTCCGAGTAATCACAAGTCACCTTGAACCAACAAATGTTTCTTAAGTACTTACTATAGTCCTAGCTTTGTGCCAAATACACAAGTTAAAATAAGCGTAAGACTCAGCCCCTGCCCTGAAGTAAAAAAAAAAAAAAAACCACAATCTTGCAGAGGAAGCAAGATTTAGATATATACAATGATATGGTTTGGATGTTTGTCCTCTCCACATCTCATGTTGAAATGGGATTCTCAATGTTGGAGGTGGGGCCTGGTAGGAGGTGACTGGAGCGTGGGGGCAGATCTCTCATGAATGGTTTCACACCATCCCCTTAGTGATAAATGAGTTGTCGCTCAGTTAGTTCACATGAGATCTGGTTGTTTAAAAGAGTCTGGGACCTGCCCGTTCTCTCTCTTGCCCCCACTCTCACCAGGTGATACACTGGCTCTCCCTTTGCCTTCCACCGATTGGAAGCTTTCTGAGACCCTCATCAGAAGCAGATGCCAATACCACACTTCTTGTACAGCCTGTAGAACTATGAGCCAATTAAACCTCTTTTTTAAATAAATTACCCAGCCTTATGTATTTCTTTATAGCAACAGAACAGCCAAATACAGAAAACTAGAAAACAGTATAGCTACCATTTTTGACCACTTACTAGGAAATGGATGCTTTACTAAGGGTTTTATATCTTATTTCACCTTCACAGAACTATGTCATCAGTGTTATTACTGCCATTTTTCCAATGAGGAAACCAAGGCAGAAAGAGGGAGACTAGCACACCCAATGTTACACAGTAAGCAGTGGAGCCTGCATCTGAATCTAAGGTCATGCGACCTTAAGCTCTGGTAAGTGTATGGCTGACCAGAGTCCCCATAAGAGAGGAGAGGCAAGGATGATCTGAGCAGGATTACAAGCGATATACTGCTGCTGAGCTGATGGTGCCTAGGGTGAGGGGCGAATCTAATAAAAAGAAAGTCAAGTTCAAGTTTGGAAGGAGGGTGAGTTAGAGTAGAATATATAGGAGGACTATATCATGAAAAGCCTCTCATGTAAATATCTTAAAAGTCTCCTTCATCAGAACACTGGAATATTTACTAAGGCCTAATACTGGCCAGGCCCCATTCTAGAGAGTATGGTATAAAGATGAAGTCACAACCAGCCTTCCTTCCCCTGAGGAGCTCTCTCCACTATTCAAAGTTTTCTCCATGGATCTAGGTTTCCATATTCACATGGAAAAAGCCCTTGCCACTGTTGAAGTCCTCACTCAGCTACCTGTCCCCCAGATTTTCACAATTTGTTCATATGTACCCTCGTCTTTGATCAGACTACATCTTACAGCCTATAAGGTACCTTAATGTCTATTCAAAATCATGTCCCTGGTCAGGCTCTACCTCTACACGAACCCCTCTCCCCATCAAGGATCAGCTCATATCCCACTACAAAGTCATCCCTTTCACAAACATCTGGTGAGCATCCATTGGGTGCTAAGTTGTGAGAGACTCTGGGGACATGGCTTGGGCAAGTCACAGCTCCCAACCCTAGAACAGAAGCCAGTGATTATGGCTCTGGATTTGGCACTGGGTTTCATATACATGGCACCAAAAACACAAGCAACAAAAGGAAAAATACATTGGACTTCATCAAAATTAAAACTGTCTGTGTGTCAAAGGATACTATCAAGAGAATGAAAAAAATCCACAGAATGAAGTCTGGGTGAGGTGGCTCAAGCCTGCATCCCAGCAACACTTTAAGAGGCTGAGCTGGGAGAATCACTTGAGCCCAGGAGTTCAAGACCATCCTGGGCAATATAGTGAGATGTCATTTCTAGAAAAACAGACAAACCAACAAACCAACCAACCCATAGAATGACAGAAAATATTTGGAAATCATATATTATAACGGTCTATTATACAGAATAATAAAGAATTCTTACAACTCAGCAAAAGCACACACAATTCAATTTAAAAATGGGCAAAGGACTTGAATAGACATTTCTCCAAGGAAGATATACAAATGGCCAATAAGCACATGAAAACATCTTCAATGCCATTAGTCATTAGGGAAATGTAAATCAAAAGTACAGTGAAACCAGACACAGTGGCTCACACCTATACTCTCAATACATTGGGAGGCTTAGGCAGGCAGATCACTTGAGTCCAGGAGTTGGAGATCAGCCTGAGCAACATGGTGAGATCTTGTCTCTACAAAAAAAAATACAAAAATTAGCCAGGCGAGGTAGGGCACGCTATAGTCCCAGCTACTCGGGAGGCTAAGGCAAAAAGATCGCTTGAGCTCATGAGGCTGAGGCTGTAGTGAGCTATGAAGCCATGATCGCACACTGCACTCCAGCCTAGGCGACAGAGTGAGACCCTGTCTTAAAAATAAATACATACATACATAGATGCATACATACAATGTGACACTTCACACTCACTAGGGTGACTATAATTTTTTTTAAATAGAAAATAAATGTTGGTGAGGATGTGGAGACATTGGAACTCACACCTTGCTGGTGAGGATGACACTAATGTGGCTGCTGTGAAAAACAGTCTGGCAGCTCCTCATTAAGTTAAACAAAGAATCATCATATGATCCAGCAGTTGCATTCCTCAGTATATTCTCAGGAGAACTGAAAACATACATCCACAGAAAGAAACTTATATACAAATATTCATAGA